ACAGTAGCTGCAGATGTTGTACATAGACCTTGCAGTAACGCTCAAAACATGCCACATCACCAACGCATAAAGCTCTTGTACAGCGTGTAAAAGACATCTTACCAGCCAGGACATATATGGGGTAAGTCATTTCTTCCACAGCCTTAACTCTGGATACAGCAGGAAAGTGGTAAATATGTTCCCTAATGGATGACACGTCACCACGCGTCAACGTCTTGTCAGGGTGTGGTCTCTTGTGGCTTCAGAAAGGGGTGTGACAACATATGCAAGTGCAAACAGTCCTCATGCACTTAAATGCACGGGACGGACTCTCTAGACATTTAACCAGAATTAACACGCTTCTAGATATTGGGGATCCGCAGTCAGCTGCTGAAGAGTTTGCAAAGTACTTTCAAGATAAAATTACATCAATTCGGGATCAGCTAGAAGATACATCATTCCCAGAAAGTGTCAGTATCTTCGATGGGGAGCCCTTGTGTCAGTTCAACCCTCTCTCTCATGATGAGACTTTGGTCATCATAAAGACTGCCATACCAACATCTTGCATGCTTGAGCCCGTTCCAACCAAGGTACTACTTGAGCATGCTAACATCCTGGTTCCTGCCATAACCATCATTGTAAATATCAGCCTGACTTCTGGAGTTATGCCTAACTCACTCAAGACTGCGGTACTAAAACCACTGCTGAAGAAACCCTCACTTGACCCAGATATGCTTAAAAACTATAGACCGGTGTCGAACTTATCATTCCTCTCAAAGATAATAGAACACTATCGACCGCAGAAACCTCCTTAAGTGTGAGAGTCAGATTGGGATAAAAGATTCTGCTTTGCAGTGGTTTGACTCCTACCTCAGTGATAGAAGCCAGGCAGTGTCCATCGATGGATACACCTCATAAATCAAACAAGTTAGTGTGTGGAGTTCCACAAGGCTCGGTGTTGGGCCCTGTCCTGTTCACACTTTATACTAAGACCCTTGGCAACATCATTGACAATCACGGACTCCATCGACACTTTTACGCAGACGATTCTCAGCTTTCAAGAGTTCAAGCCACAAATATCTTCAGGAATTGCTGCAAACTTCAGGATGTCACTCTGCTATGAGGATATCAAGAAATGGACGACAGCCAATAAGCTCAAACTCAACGATGATAAAACTGAAGCACTTCTGATTGGCCCCCCTTCCAGACGGGAACAGACTAAACTGAAAACGCTTACATTTGGTTCCTCATCTATCGCAGTTATTCATTCTGCAAAAACCCTGGGCGTCGTACTGGACTCTGAGTTGACGATGGAAATCCACACAAACCACCTCTCAAAACTGTGCTATCTTCACATCAGAAACATCAGCTCTATCCGGAAATACATCACTACTCAGTCTGCCGCAACATTAGCAGTGTCACTAATACTTTACCGACTCGATTACTGCAACAGCCTCATTGCCGGTGCACCAAAAACTGTCACATCTAACCTTCAGAGAATCCAAAACACAATAGCCTGAATTGTCTCACTAACACGCAGATACGATCACAAAACGTGCGTTCTGAAGAACCTACATTGGTTACCAGTGGAATACAGACTGAAGTTCAAAGTCCTCTGTCTGACTTATCAGTGCGTCTCTGGCACAGCTCCAGGATACCTCCGTGACATGATTGAGGTTTACCATCCCTCCAGGACTCTCAGATCCTCAAACCAGAACCTCCTCACAGTTCCTAATGCCAAGACTGCTCGCTATGGACAGAGAAGCTTTTCATACAGCGCAGCTGTAGAGTGGAACAAACCCCAGTACATGTGAAATACTCACCATCTCTTCAGTAATTCCATAGAACACTAAACACCTTTCTGTTTCAACAAGCTTTCTGTGCCTGAACTCTAAACTGTGTACATCCATACTTTGTATTTAGTTTTATTCCTGTGCGCTCAGAGCATGCTCATGCATGGAATACAGCGCTATATAAATACACTTATTATTAGAATATGTGGGTAACTATTATTTTGGTTACAATTTCTCTGTAATGCATTGATGGCCTTTCCAAAGCTAAAACAGTAGCGAGAAAAGGCAAAGTAGTATTTACCTTCTGCAAACGCGCGTGAAGGTGCGAGTTTGAATTGGTCTTCTGGAATCCATGCTTGTCGTAAGAGGCGACTCATGGGATCGGGTGGTCATCCTTGCTGACAGTCTTCAAGCACTCCACAGCAATACACACCCTCTTACAGCGAATACAGCACGTTCCCTATGTTGAGTGTAACATTCTCCTGTAGGCTTGTCATGGGTATATGTGTGAATGCTCGTCTGTGTAACTCGAGTGAGTGAGTGAGGTTGATTTTACGCCACTGTTGACAATATTCCAGCAATATCACGGCGGAGGACACCAGAAATTAGCTACACACACTGTGCCCATGGGGATTGTGTATGGGAGGCTGATTGTCTGGTCCAGGGTCCATTATATACGGACCGCTTCCATGTGGCTGGAGGAAGCAGCAACATTGCTGAGTGAGGCGTTAACGCCAAACAAAGAATACCTTCTGCGCATGCACAAAATGGAATGAGTGCCTCCATATCTGAAAATGTTCACTATGCATCGACGGTCAATAATTGACATTATGTGCAAACGTTTATGCTTTTATAATTAAATACACAATTTATCTCCTTAGCCGCCCCACTAATTGGATGAATTTAATGGTGATTTGTACGTCCGCCATTTTCACAACCATCAATACCTGTCAGCGATTTTAATACTTCTTTAATCTCACATCATTCACTGCTGCAGGCGTTAATCCTTCGGATGTTAATTGATAAACTTGTGTCTTTGTGAACACAGTTCAGTTGTTATCTTATTGCTGACAAACATAGTTGATTGGCTGTCCCACTTGGACACCGAGGGCAGAGGAGTTGCCAACACAGCATTGTGTCGTCACCATTAATAACCGTTTGTGTCAACTGACAAAGCGGATAACAACTGTTTGGAGTTGTGTCCTTTTTTTCTTTCTGATGTGTATCTACCGAGGGAAATAATCTCTGGGTTTCAGAGTGGGGAATTAATTCGCGTGATACAGCAGAATTCCACCGAACAGCTGTTTTCTTTCAATTCTTTTACAACGTGGACTGAAAGGTGCCAACAAGATATTCGTGTTAGCAGTAACACGGGGGTACGCGTGGTTTTATATGGCGTCCGCCGTTTTATTCTACTCACATCACGATGCCTCCCCCGTTAACGCTGGAGCAAAAACTTTTAAATACTGAGCAGTAGCCCTGAAATAACTTTCCTATAACTAAAGTTCACCCTCCTCCCGTTACAAATTTCCCTGTAATGGTTTAATTGATTATGATGCTTGACAGTCGTACGTGGGAACGCAACCGGTCACAAAAGAGTGAGTAGAGCCTTTATACCATTATTCAAGCAATATCACTGCGGGGTGCACCATGTTGGGAATCGAACCCGGGTCTTCGGGGTGACGAGCCAGCCCTTTAACTACTAGCCTACCCTACCGCCCCTTTTCAGAAACGAGACAATATATGGTGTAATTTTTTTATTTGAAGATTTTGAATGCACGTGACCAAATAGACATAATGGACTCCTTTGACTCGGAAACCAAATAAACAAATACCCATAATTGAATATTAGTTTGACATTAGTTAACCTTGTATTTTGGATGGTTCTTTATTTTTTAGTTGGAGCTTTACGAACATTGTTTTACGCAGACCCCCCCAAGTGTGAGCGCTTCTACTTATTGAAATTTGCACAGGTGCGCTAGGACTTAGTTATTTCTTACCTTACGTGTGATAACAAATTGAATATTGTAGGTCCAGGTAGATGTACATTCTGTATAGCCTTGAGCATGCACCTCTGTGGATGGAACCCAGCGCAATATAAATAGACATTATTATTATTATTATTATAGGGCCTAATACGTACAGAAGCGGAGGCTCTCCAGTGGAAAGATCAAACAAAGGGAATCAATGTGCCTTTGAAAATTAACATAGACAACATAAATTTACTGTACATAGAATAAATGTGCAGAAGTGAATGGATTCACCGTAAACGCTACTCCTGTCCACAATAAAAAAAAACAAGATCAAAATAAATTTCATGTTAGAGAGTTACGCGATCCTTATTCAATATTACTCTAATGCTTGACTGTGGAGACAATAAATCGTAGCTGTGTTTAGATAGATAGATAGATACCCAGATAGATAGATATACACTTCCCTGAGCTGGGGTACAGATACCATGGGGCGGTACCCGTAAAGATCCAGGTTTGCCAGTGATATATAGGTATATAGATATATGGGTTTCTTCGTGTGTGTTTCTTTTTTTAAATACAGATTACAGATTACCATAATGATACAGAAGCGCGATGGAAGATATTCCTTTCTAATGAATATCTTGAGTGTTCGTAGAGAAATCTACCATATAATTATCAGTTATTCGTGACTAGACCCATGTCGACTGGTATGAATGTACGATGTGTGATACATACACATTGATGTGTGATACATACACATTGATAAGAATTTCGGTCCATTCCGCTGTTTTCACTCATATTTATCCCGTCTGGCATGTACATTTTTTATCAATGTCATTGATGTAAAGATACATATACATGTACTTTATAGGCGATCGTGTATTCTAAAGGTTGAAATAACACTGCGGCTAATTCATACGCAAATACATACCGATCTTTTTCAAAAACGGTGTACCCGCGTTTGGGTCATATACATAGGACATATTTAAAACGTCTTGATAGCCAAACGAGAAAATACGCATTAAACTTTGTTTCTCCGAGTTATTCATTCATGTCCATGCGCGCACCTGCCAGGGGTCATTAGTATAGTGTATTGTTGAAGTGACCCTGTATAGTCAGTTTATAAAACGACAGGACTAAAACAACTCCTTGTAAGTAGCTGGATTAACCAGTTTAATTGTGGTCAATACAATTAGTTCAATATGCTATAATTAAGACATTGTTTGATTAAGCCGATAATCTGTTCCATTTAACGCAATAACTGCTCCCTGTCTCCGTAGCAACAGGCAAAATATAGGTCTCCTGTAACCCAGTCAATTTTCACTCGGCAAGGCAACGTACAATCGTTCAGGAAATTGTTGCAAATACATCGACATTTAAATTGCAGGTGAGTAATTATACTTTGTTCTTCCCAGCCTGGTCTGTGTTTACTTTCAGCAAGCGGTTGTTTCATGTTTTGGTCGGTCAGCATGCAGGGTATGGTATGTTATGAGGTATAGGCCTGCGCGAACATTGTCATGAAAACATTGTCCATCTTCTTGTACAGAATGGCGGCTACACAGAGGACCCAGAAAGAGATGGTGGACAAAGTTACACAACAACTGAAAACTGAGGAAGATCCCATGGTACGGTTACGTCTGGCCTGTTTATTGCGAGGATCGTCCGGGATCAAAGGTTTGGGCAGGTAAGATATTTGTGATACCTGTAGACATGTTGATATAAACATGCCCCAGCCTGCAGACACTCCGCCGCATGAGGGTTGACATTCTCTGTCATAAATGTTCATATGTGCTCGTGAAATTCTAATGTTGATAACCTATCATATGAAAACCAATATCAATGCTCATGTGGATTACAGAAAATAGATATATAGTGGCTACTGATGGAACATGTGTCTGATATTTCTATTTATAGCAGAGCTCCAGATAAGATTTAGCTCATGTGGGTACTGTACCCACTGGGTTTTCTTTTGAGTGGGTATTATGAATGTTGAGTGGGTATTTCATTTTCCGTTACCCACTGCTTTCAAATATGTGCGTATTTCAGTCATTTTACTCACCTAAGTATTATGTCATTAAGTAAGTTTACTAAGCAGGCATGTTCTGCCTTATGTCATACCTAATCAAAACCAACTTAAATATAATAGAAATGCTTTCATAAAAGATCACTCATCCTATACTGACAGTACAACACTTGTCCTATACTAACAGTACAACTTGATAGCAGTCGATGTCTTTTTCATTACGCAAGCGATTTTTATAAATATATTCCGTACGCATTTGTTTTAAACTTTTTGCGTATCTAACATTTTAAATGCGTAATTGGTATGCAACAATTATTTTTCAATGCGTAATTGGAAATTTTCTATGCGTATTTTACCCGGATACGCAGCTTATCTGCGCCTCTGTATAGTCAAGTTTATTTTTATGACATGTTTTTATAAGATATAAATACTGTATCTATTTGTGTTTCACTCATGGTTGTAGAAGAGTGCCAGGGTTATGGAACCGTTCATAATTTACAGCTAATGGAGTGTAGGTGTGATGATGATTTTTATGGAGAAGCATGTACAATATGTGAATAAAAAAACCAAAAACCCCACCACCCCCCCCAAAAAAAGTACAAAATAAGTGGGTTTCTCTTTACAATATTAAAATATTATGTTACTTACTATGTACATAAATTTTGGGTGGATGTTGTGGGGATTCACATTTTCACATTGTACATGCTTCTCCACAAATATCGTCCTCACCCCTGAAGCCATTAATTATCAACTTATGAACGGTCCCTCGTTACAGTTTTCTGAATCAACTAGTATTTAAAATAGTCTCCTTTACCTTATGGTAATCTCTGCTATATATCTTCCTGTAGAATACTGGCAATGTTCACAAAAGTGTTTTCTCTATAATAATACTTAAATATTGCATAATTATTAAAGCGCCTTTTTCATTTTGACTGCGAGGAGATGAAGTTATGCTGTTTTTTTATGTTACAGATGTTTTAAGATCATGGATGACGATGGTAATCGATCACTTGATTTCAAAGAGTTTAAGAAGGGTATCCATGACTACGGCATTAGTGCAGAGATGAGTACTGAGGATATTCAGGAAGCTTTCAACAAGTGCGACAAGGATGGTAGTGGCACTCTGGACTTTGATGAGTTTCTTGTACAACTCAGGGTAAGACGAAGCAGTTAGTTTATTCAATTTGTGTAACTATTTCCTTGACATTTTGTTATTATGCTCTTTGAAACCTTTGATGTGAACCCGTTGCCGAAACATGAGTCCGAGAACAGTATTTTTCAATAACATTGCAGTAAATAGTTTATAATTATAATTCTGTTGATAATATATGGTCATTTGAAAGGTAATAAGTGTTTTCAGACATTGCATAGGTGGATCCAGGGTCTTTGCAGGGGTGCGCACCCCACCTTTTGTCCTGAAAAGTTTATTAAATGACCAGCGAAAGCAGGTGAAAATGAAGTGTGTAGCCCCCTTTCTCAAAAAGCTGTTTCCACCCCTGCATTGTGAAAAGTGATAGATTTCATAGTTGAATCAAATGTTAGGTAGCCTCCTAAAATTATATATCATTTTGATGCGACTCCTGTCTGTCTGGGCACTATTGACGTCTTGGTCGGTTTTCCGTCCTACTCAGTTGAATGGGATAATACAGAGCAAATATTTCTTAAACGACCATCACATAGAATTAAAGATCTACTCCTTCTGTTTCAGCCTCCCATGAGCAAAGCCAGGAGGACATTAATAGAAAAAGCTTTTAAGAAGCTGGACAAGTCTGGTGATGGTGTCGTTACAGTAGAAGACCTGAAAGGGGTTTACAATGTCAAGAAACATCCCAAGTATCTCAATGGAGAGTGGACAGAGGACCAGTGCCTACGACAATTCCTGGACACATTTGACAGTCAGGACAAAGATGGAAAGGTAAGAAAATCAATGTGTCACTCACTTTCGTTTACAGCTAAACCCGTCAATCCCATATATAAACTACTGACTAGTATGTCCTGAGGTTTGTATGTTGCGAGTTTTGTTTAGTATTTTTTAAATGTGATGAATTAAACATCCTATCAAAAAAATATGAAGACAAAACATGTTTCATAGTTAAAACATGATGTATTACACTGTAACACATGATACATAACAGAAACTATTTTTCTGTGCATATTTCATATCTTTACTTAGTTGATGATTAACTGCTTGCACATTAACATTGCAATGTTAGCTAACATTCTAAAGCATTCCAGCATGTAAAGTGATGAAGTGTATGGAGCACAACAAGCTGAAATGTATTCTTCGCTCAGGCAAAACATGTAACTGGATACTGAAGCTTTGTGCCAAATAATATGTTTCAAATGGTTATTTCGTTTTTCCTTTTGGGGAGTTTTTAACTTACTGAAATCACACCAGTTCATCACTAAACTGTGGTATATCCCAGACATCACATGTAAATCCCGTGAAGGCATGTTGACAGTGTGTCACTGTGGTATCGCTGTCAGTAGGTGTCACTTGTGTCAGTGTTACACTTAGTTCAACTAAGGGAGATGCTGATATCCCTCCCTAAAGTGATTGCCCCAATAGTTCTCCTCATCTACATGAACATAGTGGACTTTCCCTGGCTTCTCACAGGCCACCATGACATGAACCCATGAAACTGTTGGAATTACACAAAGCTTCAACTCAGAATACCATACAAACAAATACATACATATGGCTTCTCAATTTTGATTGTGTACATACTTTGATATTTTTCAAAAATTTATATTTGTTTCTGCTTTAGCTGGTGCTTGCATGAGCATGATGGTCTCTGCTACCATAAAGCAATAATCTGCCACAATAATGTGGACAATTCAGTTTCAGCTTGCCATTGTGCTTCTCAACCTAACCTGCTGACCTCTTTTCACTGATGCTCTTTATTACAAGAGTTTGTTTTGTAGAATAATCCCCACTCACATGTGTGAGACTTGTTCCCGGTGTTATTAACACACAGAATATTGTACTGTAGCTCACTTGCCCAGTGACAATAATATTTCAGTTTACGACTTTTACTTGACAATCCAAATTGTGATTAACATGATAACTCCTGTTACTTCCCCATTAGTGTGCTCATCTGACAGAGACTGTCATGTCACTCATAACTAACCCTGACTGTCGGCACATGACCCTGTCATGTGTGACACTGACTGTGGTGTTTGACCCTTTCATGTGTGACACTGTCATGTGTGACACTGACTGTGATGTGGGGGCGGTGGGGTAGCCTAATGGTTAAAGCGTTGGCTCGTCACGCCGAAGACCCGGGTTCGAATCCCCACATGGGCACAATGTGTGAAGCCCATTTCTGGTGTCCCCCGCCATGATGTTGATGGAATATTGCTAAAAGCGGCGTAAAACCAAACTCAGTCAGTCAGTCAGTCAGTCAGACTGTGATGTGTGACACTGACATGTGTGACACTGACTGTGGTGTTTCACCCTGTCATGTGTGACACTGACTGGTGTATGTGACCCTGTCATGTGTGACACTGACTGTGGTGTGTGTGACCCTGTCATGTGTGACATTGATTGTGGTGTGTGTGAACCTGTCATGTGTGACACTGACTGGTGTATGTGACCCTGTCATTTGTGACCCTGACTGTGGTGTGTGACCCTGACTGGTGTATGTGACCCTGACTGAGGTGTATGTGACCCTGACTGTGGTGTGACCCTGACTGTAGTATGTGTGACCCTGTCATGTGTGACCCTGACTGTGGTGTATGTGACCCTGACTGGTGTGTGTGACCCTGACTGTGGTGTGTGTGACCCTGTCATGTGTGACCCTGACTGTGGTGTATGTGACCCTGACTGTGGTGTGTGACCCTGACTGTGGTGTGTGTGACCCTGACTGTGGTGTGTGTGACCCTGACTGTGGTGTGTGACCCTGACTGGTGTGTGTGACCCTGTCATGTGTGACCCTGACTGTGGTGTGTGTGACCCTGTCATGTGTGACCCTGACTGTGGTGTATGTGACCCTGACAGTGGTGTGTGACCCTGACTGTGGTGTGTGTGACCCTGTCATGTGTGACCCTGACTGGTGTATGTGACCCTGTCATTTGTGACCCTGACTGTGGTGTGTGACCCTGACTGTGGTGTATGTGACCCTGACAGTGGTGTGTGACCCTGACTGTGGTGTGTGTGAACCTGTCATGTGTGACACTGACTGGTGTATGTGACCCTGTCATTTGTGACCCTGACTGTGGTGTGTGACCCTGACTGTGGTGTATGTGACCCTGACTGAGGTGTATGTGACCCTGACTGTGGTGTGACCCTGACTAGTGTGTGTGACCCTGTTATGTGTGACCCTGACTGTTGTGTATGTGACCCTGACTGGTGTGTGTGACCCTGACTGTGGTGTGTGTGACCCTGTCATGTGTGACCCTGACTGTGGTGTGTGTGACCCTGTCATGTGTGACCCTGACTGTGGTGTGTGACCCTGACTGTGGTGTGTGTGACCCTGACTGTGGTGTGTGACCCTGACTGTGGTGTGTGTGACCCTGACTGTGGTGTGTGACCCTGACTGTGGTGTGTGACCCTGACTGTGGTGTATGTGACCCTGATTGTGGTGTGTGACCCTGATTGGGTGTGTGACCCTGTCATGTGTGACCCTGACTGTGGTGTGTGTGACCCTGTCATGTGTGACCCTGACTGTGGTGTATGTGACCCTGACAGTGGTGTATGTGACCCTGACTGTGGTGTGTGTGACCCTGTCATGTGTGACCCTGACTGTGGTGTGTGACCCTGACTGTGGTGTATGTGACCTTGACAGTGGTGTGTGACCCTGACTGTGGTGTATGTGACCCTGACAGTGGTGTATGTGACCCTGACTGTGGTGTGTGTGACCCTGTCATGTGTGACCCTGACTGTGGTGTGTGTGACCCTGTCATGTGTGACCCTGACTGGTGTGTGACGCTGACTGTGGTGTGTGACCCTGACTGTGGTGTGTGTGACCCTGACTGTCATAGGAAGTCAGTTCTTTCTACCACCAGCCTCTTCATACATAGTATGCCTTAAAACCTAATGACTAATAAGATGCCAGTTTTGTGTGGTGAGTAGCCAGCTGGATGGGAAGACCCCCATGCTGATATTCTGTACAATCTCTGCATGCTTTGCTTGCTGCGCAATATGAGGCAGATATTTGGCTGTCTCTGTAACTGTACTCTGACAGGTGTAGTGCTCAAGATCCAGTCACTTACTCTGTCATCTCAACTGGCAGTGTTCTTTCTTGTATATATATATTATAACTTGGAGGAGGCTCGTGGAATTGAAATTATAGTGCAGCTGTGTATTTAACTGTGATATTAACTCCAGATCACAACTGAAGAGTTTGAAGCCTACTATGCTGGTGTAAGTGCCTACATAGACAGTGATGCATACTTCGATCTCATGATGAGAACTGCATGGAAACTGTGAAAACTCGTAGTAAGTTGTATTGTACTGGGAGAAATTGTTGTGTTGAAGGAACTCTTCTGACAGGATGTTGGATATTTCAGTTATAATGAATGGCATTGTTATGGAAATGAAGATTAAAGGCAGGCATGTTTGTAAAGCACTTACATAAATGCTGATAACTGGTCTACTGTAAGGAATGCATGTTTGCTGTCATTAATAGAATGGGAAGATATATTGATATATTGAGATATATTTGAGCAAGTAAGCAAGTTTTGTCTATTGCTTTTGAAAATGAAATGAATAGTTTATGGAATATTATTTGTATTCTTGACATTTTTGTAACTTGTACAGTTAACTGTGAGCGGTATACTGCAACATTTCAGTTGAGGTTCTGGTAGACGTGGACAGAAGTCAGTTTAATGTGTTCCTCACACCGAGCATGCCCGGACTAACATGGACTAACAGTCTTCACATGTACTAAACAATAAAAAATAACTAATAAGTATACAAAATGAAATATCGTCTTCTGGTGTTGTGTATACAAACATGCATGAAGCCAGTTTTGCAACTCTACGGATACTGTATTACGGCCAGTTACTATGTCAGTAACAGACTCATTGAAATACATGTGCACTTGCAATCATCCCGACGTCGACGTGGTCTCTACACTTGGAAAGGTAGATAACTGTTGACAACTTGGTGTCATGAATGTGTGAAATGAAGGGATGTAGTGTCATTAGTTAAGCATCTTCCTGTCTCACTGTATGGAGATAAATGTGTTTTGTTGACCTTGTCAGTGGTACTACACTATTACCCTGAAGTTTCTGATCTAGATGTCTTGTCGTTACTTTAAGTAAGGCTGCAGTTGTATTTCTTTGATATGGTGAAGGTTGGTCTTGTCAAAATCATGTTCCTTCAACAATTCACATGTTTTCATCTGAAGTGTGTCAGTGCAGACGTTCCAATGGAACTTAGGAGGGAGACAATCATTTAGCATGCAGTTAGCTTCGGATCTTCCTCATGACTGCACTGGCTTGGTGACCTGTGAGAAGCCAGGGAAAGGTCACCGATCTTCATGTAGTTGATGTGAACAACTGGAGGAATGTCAGCATCTCTCGTAGGTTCCCCATGGGTTCAAGTATACATAGTATCCCATACTGAAACACTGTCCTACAGGAGTCGTAGCACTAAGATTGCTTTGTGGAACAGGACCCTGAACCACAAAGCAATGTTGGTCGACAGCCTAAACTGTTATAGTGTGTATCATGGTCTGGACTACAGGGTATTGGTCGACAGCCTAAACTGTTATAGTGTGTATCATGGTCTGGACTACAGGGTATTGGTCGACAGCCTAAACTGTTATAGTGTGTATCATGGTCTGGACTACAGGGTATTGGTCGACAGCCTAAACTGTTATAGTGTGTATCATGGTCTGGACTACAGGGTATTGGTCGACAGCCTAAACTGTTATAGTGTGTATCATGGTCTGGACTACAGGGCATTGG